TGATGCTGTAGGATTTGAGGATTTGTTAACATCTCCATGATGGTACATCTCCTCGTATAACTGCAAACACATGAACGCTCCTAACGGCAGCTATCACAGCCACAGAGGCAGACTGTTTCTCACTGTTGCATTCAGGGACATTTGTTTTCCTGTAAAAAGCTGTACTCTAATCTAAGAGGACTGTTACTGACAGGAAACAGCTGCATTATCTGCAGTCTGTGTGATCAGAGCTGCTTCAATGACTTTCATTAGATAATTTATCGTTGAATAAAACATGTTTGTGTCTGCAGCGGTCAGAGGTCACAGTCTGCAGGATCCAGCTGTCTGTCTGTGAGGAGTGACCTGTCCAAAGATGAACCTCCATACTTCAGTGATGAACCTGGACCAACGAGGTCAGAGAACTGTGATGAGCTCCTTTAGATGTTTGCGTTTTCCTGGATAAATACGAGCTGAAAAATCCTCAGATTTTTACAAAGAAAACGATGAAACAAAAAGATAAAAATGTCAGACTGTTTCAGGACAGTGATGCTCATATCTGTGGGGAAAGTGTGTACTGAGTGGGTTCATGTTTGTCTTTAAAGAACAGAGCTGCTCTCTCTCTGATCTGTCATTGTGTCTGATCTGTTAAACAGTCTGAGAGGTCACAAAGAGACCCAGGGTAACGTCTAAGCAGCTAAAGCCCGGATCATACTGGGTGGTGTTAATGAGACCTCCATCAGGAGAACATTGAACAACAGTAGTGTGGATGTAGTGGATAAATCCCAGGATACTGATGCTCAGACTTAATCACAGGGAACAAAAACAGATTTGATCTTCAGATTGTGACCTTTAGACTAGACGTTACATTTGTTTAGTGATTTCAATAGAGATTAAATGTGTGGGGGGTTGCCCTGAAAAACTCATCTACTTTCCTGAACTTGCGAATCGATGACTAAGGAACCAAATTGCAATTGTATTATTAGTATGACGGTAAAACTTTCACAAATTCATTCAATATACAAAGTTTGTTTTAGAAAAAACTCAGAGGTGTCACATGATTTGTGACAAAATGACACAACAGGTATTTCTCACATGTCCTACACTAATCTACCCAGTTTGTAAAGCTGTTGTTATAGTGGTGGAGGGCAGACCTGGGATAATGTTCTGGTCTTTGAGCAATGAACTGCTTGTAGAGGTGGTTGATGGTTTATCAGTTTTACCTCCCACTGAGTTAATTTGTTCAATTTAATGAAGTCTGAGCTTCTGCAACATCATCCATCAGCAATGAAAGAGAGTCCATAAAACAGACTGAAAATGCCTGATATTTTCACAATCTGAGAGTTTAAAACATGACAAACTTGATTCAGATTAAGTTACCTGAGCAGAAACTACTGGATCTTTATCTTGTGTTTGAACTGATTCTTCATGGTTCCTCCACAGAGTGGACCAGGAGAGCTCAGAGGTTCCCAGTGGTCAGCCTGCCCAGCAGCATCAAACACACCTGGACTCCATATTTATGGTCTGTACATGTACAACAACTACTTTTACATCTATTGTGTTCACAGTCCTCTCCATGCTGATGTTTGTAGACCGGTGGATTGTAAGTGTGTCCAACATGGATCTGATGTTTGGCTCCATGATTTCAGTCTGATTGGCTCATTCATAAAGTATTCTGTTCCAGCTGCTGGAGGACAACATCATCACTTTTGTGAAGAACGAGCTGAAGAATATCCAGAAGGTTCTCAGTGCAGATTACCCAGAGTGCTTAGCAAGTCGAAGGAGCAGCAGCAGAGAAGCATTTGTGAAGATCACACTGAAGTTCCTGAGGAAAATGAAGCAGGAGGAGCTGGCTGACTGTCTGCAGAGCAGTAAGAGGATTTCTCTAAAGATTTAAGCTGCAGGATAAATGAAACATTTACTAATGTCTTAAGAGAAAGACCAACGTGTTTTAAAGATTCATTGTTTTTGGAATTAAGTGTATATTTTCATTTTCAAATGATATTCTACATATTTCTTCTCATTCAGAACTTCAAGCTATAGTTTGTCATCGTAACCTTAAATCTGCTCTGAAGGAGAAGTTCCAGTGTGTGTTTGAGGGGATCGCTAAAGCAGGAAACCCAACCCTTCTGAATCAGATCTACACAGAGCTCTACATCACAGAGGGAGGGACTGCAGAGGTCAATGATGAACATGAGGTCAGACAGATTGAAATAGCATCCAGGAAACCAGACAGACCAGAAAAAACAATCCGACGAGAAGACATCTTTAAAGCCTCACCTGGAAGAGATGAACCAATCAGAACAGTGCTTACAAAGGGAGTGGCTGGCATTGGGAAAACGGTATTAACACAGAAATACACCCTCGACTGGGCTGAAGACAAAGCCAACCAGGACATCCAGTTCATATTTCCATTCACTTTCAGAGAGCTGAATGTGCTGAGAGAGGAAAAGTTCAGCTTGGTGGAACTTGTTCATCACTTCTTTACTGAAACCAAAAAAGCAGGAATCGGCAGCTTTGAAGACTTCCATGTTGTGTTCATCTTTGATGGTCTGGATGAGTGTCGACTTCCTCTGGACTTCCACAAAACTGCAATCCTAACTGACCCTAGAAAGTCCACCTCAGTAGATGTGCTGTTGGTAAACCTCATCAGAGGGAAACTGCTTCCCTCTGCTCACCTCTGGATAACCACACGACCTGCAGCAGCTAATCAGATCCCTCCTAGGTGTGTTGAGATGGTCACAGAGGTCAGAGGGTTCACTGACCCACAGAAGAAGAAGTACTTCAGGAAGAGATTCAGAGATAAGGAGCAGGCCAGCAGGATCATTTCCCACATCAAGACATCACGAAGTCTCCACATCATGTGCCACATCCCAGTCTTTTGCTGGATTACTGCTACAGTTCTGGAGGATGTGCTGAATACCAAAGAGGGAGTACAGCTGCCCAAGACCCTGACTGAGATGTACATCCACTTCCTGGTGGTTCAGGCCAAAGTGAAGAAGGTCAAGTATGACGGAGGAGCTGAGACAGATCCACACTGGAGTCCAGAGAGCAGGAACATGATGGAGTCTCTAGGAACACTGGCTTTTGATCAGCTGATGAAAGGAAACGTGATCTTCTATGAATCAGACCTGACAGAGTGTGGCATTGATATCAGAGCAGCCTCAGTGTACTCAGGAGTGTTTACACAGCTCTTTAAAGAGGAGAGAGGACTGTACCAGGACAAGGTGTTCTGCTTCATCCATCTGAGTGTTCAGGAGTTTCTGGCTGCTCTTCATGTCCATCTGACTTTCATCAACTCTGGACTCAATCTGATGGAAGACCAACAAACAACCTCCAAGAAATCTGAAACAGGAGAATCTTCAGAGAAATACTTCTACCAGAGTGCCGTAAACAAGGCCTTACAGAGTCCAAATGGACACCTGGACTTGTTCCTGCGCTTCCTCCTGGGTCTTTCACTGCAGACCAATCAGACTCTCCTACGAGGCCTGCTGACACAGACAGGAAGTAGCTCACAGACCAATCAACAAACAGTCCAGTACATCAATAAGAAGCTCAGTAAGAATCGGAATCTGTCTGCAGAGAAAAGCATCAATCTGTTCCACTGTCTGAATGAACTGAATGATCGTTTTCTAGTGGAGGAGATCCAACAGTCCCTGAGATCAGGAAGTCTCTCTGAAGATGAACTGTCTCCTGCTGAGTGGTCAGCTCTGGTCTTCATCTTACTGTCATCAGAAAAAGATCTGGATGTGTTTGACTTGAAGAAATACTCTGCTTCGGAGGAGGCTCTTCTGAGGCTGCTGCCAGTGTTCAAAACCTCCAACAAAGCTCTGTAAGTACATTTGTACTCATGTTTTACTTCAAACATCCAACTGTGTCAGTAATTTATTTCACCAGGCTTTCTGTCTTTGTATGAATTTGTATCCTAAAGTTTGGGATTACTCCTATACAGCTGTAACCTCTTTGATGGCTCAAGAACTCTGTGTACTCGAAACGCTGAGTCTACCATAAACTATGATCATCAGTGCTGCTGTTGTGTTATCAGTCTTTGTTTAAAAACTGCCAAATGTTGTAATACCTTATATTCACATGCATGCTTTTAGATACATTTCTACTGCAGGTCTATTTTTGGTCACAAATATTGGTGAAACACTCACTTTTACATACATGGTGGCTCATGCATTAAACAAAGCATTTGCATTTGAATTACTCAGTGAATCACTGTAGCCACAGAAACGTCTTTAGTTACACTTTTAAGCTTAGATTTCTGGGCTCTTCCCAGGATGTAATGAGCATTACTTCTTCACCCACCTCTCTCCACTTTCATGTGTTCATGCACCACTGTTGAATTGAGTTAATTACTAAACTCTGCCTCGGTCTTCCACAGTGTGTTTTTTGTTTCTTTGTTGTTTTTGGCCTGCTCTCTCCCCTCACTCCCAAACTGGTTGGAGCAGATGGTTGTCCCTCCCTGAACCTGCTCTTCTTATAATAAGTTGTTTGTTTTTTCCCCTGACTTATAGCTATTCTCATCATTGTCTTCAAATTAACTCACACACTGACTGCTGCTATAGCTTACCTGGCTGAGCAGGTGACCGATGTACTGAAGGTTAGAGTTGTGACTCCAGGGCCTGGGTTTAAATCTTCTTGTCATCATCCTTCACAACTCATCCACCAGGTGTCACAAACTACAGCACGACTGCAAATACAAAGCATGTCTTACTGGATGGCTGCAACAACCAGAGTTTTACCTACCTTTGGTCTTTCTTGACAGCATGAGTGTAATATTTATTGAACAGAGTCGTCTTCTGTGATCTTTGCTGCTTTGAATGTCCGTGCTGTCCACAGATATATTTCAGTATCAGGCTCTAAACTATGCAAATGGATCAGAGAAGATTACATTTCCAAAAATGACTCAGAAATGATGTTTATACTAGATTTACAGTTTATGTTAATGTCCTCTGAATTACGAGGTGGAGGAGGTGAAGCTTACAAGGAGTAAGTGCTGATAGAAGGACAGCTGTGTTTTAATGAAGCTATTTAGTCAACCAGCAATTGTATTGCATGGTGGCATTTTAAAAATTCATTTGACTGATTTAATTAATTTGGTTTTTTTACAGACTAAGTGGCTGTAACCTCTCAGAGAGAAGCTGTGATGCTCTGTCCTCAGTTCTCAGCTCCAAGTCCTCTTTTCTGAAAGAGCTGGACCTGACTAACAATGACCTGCAAGATTCAGGCGTGAAGTTTCTGTCTGCTGCGCTACAGAGTCCACATTGTACACTGGAAACTCTCAGGTCAGGATCCAAACGTTCCCACTGCTTATCATTTAAGGTCTGAATGATATTAAACAATAAACAACCAAGCTTTGTAGAATTGGCGAATGACCTTTGACCGGGGTGGCTGTAGCTCAGGTGGTAGAGCAGGTCAGCTACTATCCAGAATGTTGCTCTCCGATGCAGTGTGAATGTGCATGAAGCACTAAAACAGCTTAGATAATGTTATTTTGTGAATGGGTGTGATTGGGTGAATGAACGAGTTGTATAAAGTGCTTTGAGTGCTCAGATGGAGTATAAAAGAGCTATATAAGAACCAGTCCTTTCACCTTTTATTTATCTTTGGAGGGCTTATGAGGTTCTTAATTACTGTCTGAGGAGTTTTTACAGTCACATATTTTGTAAAAGAGAAGTATTGTTCGGTTCATGTTTTCTGTGGCATGTTTTGTTTGACACACCAATGAGCAGGCTATTTGTTCCATCCATCCATCTTCTTCCGCTTATCCGGGGCTGGGTCACGCGGGCAGCAGCCTAAGCAGAGAAGCCCAGACCTCCCTCTCCCCAGCTTCCTCCTCTAGCTTGTCTGGGGGAACGCCAGTAAACGCCAGGGGAACGCGGTAAACCAGCAAAAAACTAGAGCAGCCGGGCTACGTAAAAAGTGTAAGGGGGCGTGTTTGCGGTCACGTCTAGCGGGTGTGTGGGCGGGAGCTGACACTGGCTCCAAAAATGCAAGATGGCAGCCTCCACAAGTGGGATATTTTGGCTTTATTTTTGCACAATGGGAGGAGGTGGTGTCGCGTTGTCCATCTTTAATACAGTCATTGGTTCTGTCTTTTAAAAATTAAGATGGATTATACGGTTTTGTAAACTGCCCTCTCTCTAGTGGCTGCTTTGTAATATTTTTTTGGTTACTTTAGAAAATAAGTCTGGATATTGAATCATCGTTATCTCACTGTCTAGCTGGTGAAAACGTGGAAACTCAGGGCAAGGACAGTAAACTGTCAGTCTGGACTTTTCTTTATTTCCATTAGCTGTAAGTGAGATTTCAGAGCAATCAGAGACTGTGGGTCTGTGTATGAAGTATAATTCATGTGCAGTTGTTGAAATTGTAGAATGAGAAATAGCAGTTTTGGGCTATTTCCTGCTTGTGCTGATGAAAATGTTTATTGACGTGTGAATTCATTCTTCAACGCTCGAAAACTTTGCTTTTCTTATTTTTGTGTAACACAATTTAATGCACTGAAGAACAATGAAAACAGGAAACAGAGACAGCTGGCCTTCAAATTAAAAGCTGCTCCTCCTGAAACGTGTTGGTGGTAAAATTTAAGAAGAGCTGAAGCACATAAATAATCTACGTGCCTAAATATTAAACACAGTTGAGGCCAGTGTTGTTAGTCCAGGTCAGAAGATGACCTGTTGGAATGAAAATGAGCTTGTAGTTTGTCTGCTTTAATAATGTGACTGAAAAAGGTGATGGCCTTCAAATATGTCCATTTCTTTCCAACTTCAACTTTAAAAGACATGGGGATCCTGGAATGAAAAAACATGACTTTTTCATGTTTTTTATGATAAATGTACAACTTTAATGTGAAAAATTCAGAGATTTTTTCTCTTGTGTTTTTTTGAAGCTGCTTCCTGTTGGCTTCAGCTGTTTGGAGTTTCCATTTTCTAAACTTCTACATTCTGAACCTTCTTCAGCTCTGAAAAGATTATGAAACACTGACTGATTTCAAGCACACACTTTGTCTAATAAACTTACATCTTTCATTCTTTATACAGATTGGGGAGCTGTGGTTTGTCAGAGATCAGCTGTGATTATCTGGTAGCAGCACTGAAGTCCAACCCCTCCCATCTGAGAGAGCTGGACCTGAACTCCAACAACCTGCAGGATTCAGGAGTGAAACAGCTGTGTGGCTTTCTGGAGAGTTCAGGATGTGGACTCAAAACTCTGAGGTCAGTCACCATGTTTTAGTTGTGCTGAGATGAATATGATGTGAAAGTTGTGCTGACACTAAACTGTAGACACAAGGCTGATATTATACTGATCCACACTGAGGATCTTCATTGTAAAGTCTGTTTACTTCTTCTCTGGTTTAGTCCATTGATTGTAGCAGAACAATGTTCACATTTCAAACAGTGATACTCAGCGTGGCCCACACGCGGCCTGCCAACCTTTCCTAATTCAGATAGAGGGTACCCCGATTAACTGTGTACCATTCTTCCTCACAGTTCTAAGTATCAGACACAACAATGAATAATCCACAGCTGACTCTCTTAAGAAAGGTCAAAGGTCATGACATCTCCAAAATCCACCTGTGACACACGTTTCCATCAGTGTGATTGATTCTAGTCAAATAATGATTGATAACTGATCAGTGTGCGACACAGTAAATGTTTGAAGTGCTGGAAACTTCCAATCTAACAGCAACACTGTCCACAGTGTCAGAGTTACAAAGATGGAGATCATAGATTTTATTCTGGTAAATCTGTTATGTCACTGCCATCCCCATCCTGATATATTGATCACTGAGAAAAGCTGTAAAAGCTTGATGTTTAGCAAAATAATGTTTAACTGGGAATTCTGCTTTTGTGACAAGTTAAACTTGTGCAGATGAACACTCTCCTCTGAGTTTGCGTTCAGGAGACTGACACCCTCTCTACTTTTAAGATCAGCTTCAAACTTTCCTTTTTGATAAAGCTTATTGTTAGAGGTGGATCAGGTGATCCTGAGTTATGCTGCTATAGGCCCAGGCTGTTGCAAGACTTCCCATGATACTCTTCTTTCTCCTCCGCCCACCTCTTTTCACTACTGATGTTTTTATATGTCACTACTGCATGCTCTTAACTTTTGTCTTCTCTCTTCTTAGTTTGTGATTTGTTCTTGTCTCTCTGAGCTCATCTCTTCTCTTCCCCCTCACCCTGCAGCCAGTCATTGTAGATGGTTCTCCTGTAGCCTGTTTTCACTGGTAGGATCTTTCTATCAAAGGGAGTTCTTCCTTCCCACCATTACCAAGCACTGCTCACAGTCGATTGCCTGATGGTTGGGACTTTCTAATATTGTAGGGAGTTACCTTAAACTGTTAAATCAAATCAAATCAAATCACTTTTATTGTCACATCACATGTGCAGGTACACTGGTACAGTACATGTGAGTGAAATTCTTGTGTGCGAGCTTCACAATACAATACCATAAGAACAAGCTAAATATAAGAATGGCTAAATCTGAGAATGAGTATATGAATAAATATATGTACAATATAAGAGTGTATGCATATTACTGAATTTGTATACTACATATGTGTGTGTGTGTGTGTGTGTGTGTGTGTGTGTGTGTGTGTGTGTGTGTGTGTGTGTGTGTGTACATATTTTACAAATTAATAGATATTAATAAAATAGAGTAAACAATAAAATAAAGTATATAAAATATACAGAGGTTGGTAGTTGGACATGTGCTCATGGACTCGTCTCCACGAGTGTTGAAATGGATGTGTTGGTGGAGTTTTGGTGAAACTTTCTTCAGGTTTCCTTTATTAGAGTCCCCGGTCATGATAAACGCCGCCTCTGGG